GCGAAGGGACGAAGGCCCCCCTCCGCCTCCCGCTCCCACAAATCCCGTGTCCGGAAGAGGGGGAATCCAGGGCAGAGGGGGTTATGGCACAGCAGAAACAGGACGCATGGAGGCATGCAGAGCACGATCACCGCCAGGAGCAGGAACCCGCGGGTACGCCGATGCATGTGGTGCAGGAGCAGCAAGGGGCGCGGCCGGAGCCTGCACATTCACAGGAGCTAGTGCGGGCGCAGGAGCGGCGGGAGCCACCGAGCTTCCAAGATTCGGTGCGCCATTCAAAGCATTGCGCATCGCCGCAGCTAACATCCCCGGGAAATCTTCGCGCAGTTGCTGCATCTCGCTTGGTTCACCGCGCCTGCGATCGTGACCTCCCCACCAGCCACCGAGGCCTCCGTGGTGCGCCGACCGATGCGACGAGGAGGGGCGACGCCGAGGAGAACCACGCCCCCGATGCGCTGCCGCATTGCCCCCCGCGGCACCGCGTATCTGTGACTCCGCGAGCCGCTGCGCGATGGGATGTACCAGCGCAGCTGCAGGGGTCACCAGGTGGGCAGAGTCAGGGCCGGCGCCCACCACTGTCCCCGGCGCAGGGCCCCCAGCGACAGCTTGGACAAGCGACGGCGCCACAAGCGACGGCTGCGCAACGGGAACCGGCGCGCCGGACGCGGGAATAACGGGTGGAACGCTCAGTGGGGGAGCCGGCGCTAGCGGGACTGGAAATGAGGACGTCGCAACAATAGTAGGAGGAGCCGGGAGGGCAAACGGAACAGCAGCAACAACAACAGCAGCGACAGGGGCTGGAGGCGGAGCAATTGCGCTCTCAGCGGTGTGACCTTGGTCCACCGCCGACTTCTCCGCTTCAGTCGCCATTATGGCGAACGCGTCGGTAGCAGGCGATCGAGGACGCGCGGTCGCGTCAGGACGCGGGAGGAGTTAGTCGCGGAAGTCCTCCGCTGGCCGCGGCCAGGGCGCGGACCCGCATAGGCCGTGCCGGAGGTTGCGGGCGTGGCAGAAGTACGCGTGAGGGAGGTCCAGAGAATGCGTTCCAGGCGGCTGCAAGTAGGGCTTTAAACGAGCTAAGAAGAACTAATGAAGCAGACGTTTTGTCAGGGGGTATTTATGAGGCGGAGGAGGAAGAAGCACACATGAGTCCGAATGCCTCGAGGGAGGCTCAGTCATAAACTCCTGCTCGGCAAAGAGGCAACTCAACCCACGCTCGAGGCGGGGCAACAAATTTGAACAACACACCCACCCAGCCGCGACCCTCCCCACAGATTCGAACCACTCCCAACAACCCTGATACCACTGCCAACCATCCCGCCCAACCAAACCTGACACCAACACCTGCAATTGCACCACGAATTGCAGCGAGGGGTAACCAGCGGCAGTCACAGCTCCTCCCCCAGAAATCGCCCGAAGCCCTCACCAAGGATGACACGCTTTTCGCAAGCGTCAATGACTTGAATCTGGACAAGCTACGGGACAGTCGCAATGCACCTCTGGCACGTCGCCTCCCGGAAAAACTCCGCCTGCTTTTCGCGATGGTATTACTGACACCACTGCTGCGACTCACCGACGATCCTGATTCCATCCAGGCCTGGACGGTTTTGTTGTTTGCCGCTCGCCTGACGCTTCGCCAGCAGTCGCCGAAGCATCCTGGCTAGAAGGAGACCAGGAGCCATTTGCGTAAATTCCTACGAGGGGAGTGGGAATCACTTCCACAGTGGATTCGCTGGATCTTCCTCCCCCCCCCCCAAGGCACCAACCAGATGACATCGGGGTTATCTCCATAGCTGAAGGTCTGGCACGCCGTGGCAGTCTGCGGAGAGCTGTCATGGCACTTGAAGCCACACCAGTCAGCAAGCCGTCGCCAGAAATTCTGGAATCCCTACATGCCAAGCACCCAAGTGCCCAGTGCCCTGACGCACCGTGGTCCCAGCCTGAGCCGGACTCTTACCTGTCAGTATCGTGGGAATTTTTCTTGAAACTTCTCTCGAAATGTGAGAACGTGGTAGGCGTAGGTCCCTCAAGCATGACGTTCGAGCACCTGCGCGAAGCTGCCTTGTTGCACACCACGGTCTGTTCACACTTACATGCGCTAGTCAACACAATCCTTCGCGGGAAGCTGCGCAAGGAGGTAGGGGGGCTTCTTACCGCATCATGGCTGATAAATTTAGACAAGCCTGACGAAGGGACCAGGCCAATAGCCATAGGCGAATGCATCCTACGACTAGCAGCCAAAGCAGCGCTTACCTAGCTAGCAGAAGCGGCCACAGAATTTTTCTTACCTTTACAGTTTGGAGTGGCCGTGCCGGGAGGATCGGAAGCACTTATCCATGTCATTCGAACATTCACCTCGGCCAACTAGGACGCACTAGTTTTGCAGGCCGACCTAGCTAACGCTTTCAATAGTGTTGACCGCCACTATTGTTCGCGCCGAGTGTCCTACTTAGCCCGCACAACTCCCCTTCCGTCCCTGCCCAAGGAGGACTGGTCTGAATGGGGGAGGCGACTGCTGGAAACGTTGCTCACGGCATGTGGCATTAATCACCCATGGGGGGACGAGGAAATTTCACGCACGTGGGCGCAGGCCTCTCTCCCCATATCACTCAGTGGCCTTGGGCTGACAGACCCATCCGTGGAGGGAAGCTACAGCTTCCTCGCCAGCTACATGCAGGCCCAGCTCCTACTTGACTCCCTAGAGGGCGAGTGCACTGGCCCACTGGAGGCCACACGTGAGCTGATGCGCGGCCCCTACACTCAGTCCTCCCCCTTGACCGAGTGGCTAGCGGAATGCGAGGAGGAGCTTCCACTGCCGGCCCAGGAAGCCTTGCAAGCAGAGAGAGCAGCCCCAACTGCAGGAAAGCTGCAGCACGGGCTGGCCACGGCTATCCAGGGCCAGCGCTACGCTGTCCAGGTGGAGGAGGTGAGGAGGATGAGCCCGAACCCAAACAATGGTCACACGCAGCGGATGTTGTCCCTGTCGGGGTACGGGGCGGGAGATTGGTTAAACGCGGTGCCCCTCCACCGCGCGCTACACCTTGAGGCTCCACATTATGCCAACGTGCTCTAGTTTGGGCTGGGGCTCCCTTTTGCAGCTCCCGTGGTTTGCAACTGCTCAAAGAAGGTGGAGATTCCTGATAGCCGGCTCCCGAACCACCTGCTACGATGCGGTACAGGGGGGGGGGGGGGGGGGGCGCACAAACATACACAATGAACTTAGAGACGAATGCGCGCGAATAGCGGCGATGCTGGCTTCGTGGTGCATATCGAAACGGCCGCCTTCAGCGCAGTGGAGGAGAAGAAGGCGGACCTGGCCCTACGCTGCCGCTCAACAGGTGCTGTCTACATCTGTGATGTGACGGTGACAGACCCCATCAGCACCCACGATGAGAACGCAACCAAGGGGCGGGGGTGAGTGGCACTGGAAGCGGCAGACAAGAAGCACGGCCTCTACAAGGACCGCCCAGGGTTGGTGAAGTTCTTCCCGCTCGCGGTTGAGACATATGGGTGCCCATAGGGCAGAAGGATGAGCAGAGGGCATAGGGCTAAGGTATCCTCTCTCTCTCTCTCTCGCTCTGAGCCGCCGAAAATGAAACCACAACGAAATAATGAGGAGAAGCAACCTCAATCAGCCCTTAAATAGGCCGGGAGGGCAGAGAGCAGAGGGAAGAGCAGATGGCATAGGGAAGTGAGGAGGCTGAAGTGCCTCCGTCAGGAACACAAGTGGCTCATCCGCAGCAACGTGGTGAGAATACTGCGTCGACGAGCCACTACCCGCAGCAAAAAACTCCACCCCCGCAACAGGCGGAACCGGCGGCAGATAAAAACGAGAATCGTGGGGAGGTGCCGAGGCGGCGGGAGCAGGAGCCGGCGGGAAGTGAAACGGAGGCGGGGGTGCAGTGACAGGAGGTGGATTGAAGGGGAGCACAGCCTGTCGAGGAGCCTCAAGGGCTGGCGAGGCGCGCATCGAACTACTCTGGCTCTGCGCCGCCCTCGAGACTTCCCGCTGTAGATCCGCCATCGTCACAGGCAGGCGGTACCCCCCACCACCGCCATGCCCGCGGGGACCCCTCTAGTCCCTCTGACCACCAGGGTGAGCAGGCCAGTGCATCTGCTGCTAGTAACGTCGTGGAGAGTCGCGCCAGCGACGAGACGACTTGCGCTCCGAGTGGGGCGCGGGTGAATGGGGCCGAGACGGGCGACGGTCGGGTGACGGGGGACGTGACGGCTGACCTGCCGGGGCCATCGGCGTCACAGCGAGCGCAGATAGACCCGGCACTGCGGGCGAAATCGACGGAGCCGGGACGCCAGTGGTGGCAGACGCTGCCTTTGGCAACAAAGCAGAAGCCGGAGCAGGCTCGGCGGGGGCAGAAGCGAACGGCGCAACGGGTGCGCCAGGGACAGGAACCGGGGGATCAGCAACGACACCAGCATGCGCATATACTGGCGGATCAACAACGGGAGCCGGAGGAACAGGAGCAGCAGCCGGAGCAGAGGGAGTAGCAACAGGCTCTGACTGGACAGGGGCAACCACTGTGAGAATCCCATAGTTGGGATGAGAGGAGAACTCAAGAGTTGGTATATTGAGAAAGAAGAGCAGTACAAATAGTGCATGAGGTGAGTGACCAAAGTTAGGGTTAACCCCCACTATTATTGGTTGACCAATGTGGTGGGGGTCCAGCACAATAATTGTGGTTGCGCCAATTATTGGAGGAGCCAAACATTGGAGGGTTTGGCCACCAATGTTGGTTCCCCAACAATAACGGTCGCTTGGGTCGTGGGAACCCAACCAAAAGTTGGGAGACCTCCTGAATGTGTATACCCATATTTTGGGTGTACACTGTTAGGTCTAGCCTGATGCATGCTATAATCTAACACACCCCCATAGCATGATAAGGGCTAGACCAAACAACCCCTGAAGCACGGAACCGGTAGAGCGGTGACCTCGACAAGCAAGCGTCCAAGGGGAAGAGCGCTGTGGCAGATGATGTTGCACGTCAGCCGAGGAAGGGGGGAAGGGGCTGTTGCAAGTGAGGAGGCAAGCCAGCCAAGGGGTGCTGCGACGGTAAGGTCGCACGAGAGCCGGGACCGGGGGCTGCTGCAGGTGAGGAGGCAAGCCAGCCAAAGGAGGGGCTGCAGCGGATGGTGCGGCACACCTGCCGACGGAGGGGCTGCGGCGGATGGTGCGGCACGCCCGGGGGAGGGGGGAGGAGGGCTGGATGGCCCGAAGGAGGAGGAAGCGAGGGGGAGGGGGGAGGAGGGCTGAATGGCCCGAAGGAGGAGGAAGCGAGGGGGAGGGGGGAGGAGGGCTGGATGGCCCGAAGGAGGAGGAAGCGAGGGGGAGGGGGGAGGAGGGCTGGATGGCCCGAAGGAGGAGGAAGCGAGGGGGAGGGGGGAGGAGGGCTGGATGGCCCGAAGGAGGAGGAAGCGAGGGGGAAGGGGGGGGAGGGCTGGATGGCCCTTAGGAGGAGGAAGCGAGGGGGAAGGGGGAGGAGAGCTGGATGGCCCGAAGGAGGAGGAAGCGCGGGGGAAGGGGTAGGAGGGCTGGATGGCCCGAAGGAGGAGGAAGCGAGGTGGGGGGGGGGGGGGAGGGGGAGGAGGGCAGAAGCTGAATGACCCTTAGAAGGGGGGCGGAAGCGTGGTGACGATCCGAATGAGTTCTTTGACGGGCGGAATGCCCTTGGGAGCGGGATTGACGGGCGGAATGCCATAGGGAGCGAGATTGACGGGCGAAATGCCCTCGGGAGCGGGATGGACGGGCGGAATGCCCTCGGGAGCGGGATTGACGGGGAGAATTCCCGCGGGAGCGGGATTGACGGTCCAAATGCCCTCGGGAGCGAGATTGGCGGGCGGAATGCCCTCGGGAGCGAGATTGGTGGGCGGAATGCCCTCGGGAGTGGGATGGACGGGCGGAATGCCCTCCGGAGCGGGATGGACGGGCGGAATGCCCACGGGAGCGGGATTGACGGGCGAAACGCCCTCGGGAGCGGAATCGACGGGCGGAATGGTAGGCGCGGTCGTCGCGGGCGTCCCGCTGCTCGGCGCGTTCGTCGCGCGGGTCGGCGTGGACGTCCCGCTGCTCGGCGCGTTCGTCGCGCGGGTCGGCGTGGACGTCCCGCTGCTCGGCGCGTTCGTCGCGCGGGTCGGCGCGGACGTCCCGCTGCTCGGCGCGTTCGTCGCGCGCGTCGGCGTGGACGTCCCGCTGCTCGGCGCGTTCGTCGCGCGGCTCGGCGCGGACGTCCCGCTGCTCGGCGCGTTCGTCGCGCGGGTCGGCGCGTACAAGCGCCTCAAATGCCATGGGGAAAAACTTGAGGGAGGGGAGCAGGCTGGTGGGGCAAAGACCATGAGGCTGGCAAGAGGCCAAGGATTTCCTAGGACAGCATGGTGGCTGGAGGTTCCTAGGGGTGGCGTTAGCCAAAATAGCTCAAATACCATGTGAGAATCCCATAGTTGGGATGAGAGAAGAACTCAAGAGTTGGTATATTGAGAAAGAAGAGCAGTACAAATAGTGCATGTGGTGAGTGACCAAAGTTAGGGTTAACCCTGTGAAACAAGTGAACAGGAATGAAATGACTAAGTCAGAGTTGGGTACAAATACAACCCTAGAAAGCTGTACCCCATATGTGCTACCCCACTATAGCCTACAAACATGCATCAGCTATAATAATCTGACACACCCCCATAGGCAAAGTGGGGGAGAACAAGGGGTCACAAGACCAGTCAAGCAAAGCAAAGCAAAGCAAGCTCAGGGTGGATCACAAAGTCACCACACAGTCCGAGCACAAGAGCAGGGCCAGAGGCCAGTTCACATGCAGGAGTACAGACATATATATAAAACTAGACAAGCAAGAGCAGGTATATATATATATGTCACAGTACAAGTGAAGTCAAGAGGAGAGCAAGTGAGGCAAGACAGGTACAAGACCAAGCTGGGTGCAAAAGCGCTGATGGTCACAAGGCGCGAGTGCCTTGGTGAACACATCAGCAGTGTTGGCCTCAGAGGCCACGTACGCAAGTCGCAACTGACCACGCTGCTGCAGCTCACGAGCAAGGAAGTAGCGGAGAGCAATGTGCTTCGTTCTGTGCTCCAAGCGCTGCTCTCGACACAAGGCCAGCATGGCCTTGTTGTCTACGTACAGCACTGGAGGAGAACGAGGCGGCTCTCCAAGGTCAGTCAACAGGTAGGTGAGCCAGCGAAGCTCCTGTGCAGCCATGGCCCCGGCGTAGATCTCAGCCTCACAACTGGAGCCGAGAACCGAGGACGAGCGAGTAGACCGCCACGAGACAGAGCCGGAACCAAGGCTGAAGGTGTAACCCTGTGACGACCGCTGCGTAGCCTGGTCGTCAGCCCAAGAAGCGTCCGCGTGGCCGGTAAGGACCACTGGACTCCGCCCTCCAAGCACTAGCCCCATGCCCGACGTACTGCACAGGTAGCGCAATACCCTCTTCGCTGCAGCCATGTGCTCCGGTCTGTGTCTCCCAGGAGCAACATAGCGTGCAAGAATGCTCAGAGGGTATGCAAGGTCAGGTCGTGTGCAGGTCATCAGGTACATGAGGCAGCCAACAAGCTCTGCATATGGACCACTCGACTCTACGGACTCATCCGAAGGCAGAGCTGAGAGTGAGTGGCGAGTAGGCAGAGGAGTGGCCTGAGGCGAGGAGTACGTGAAGCCGAAGCGCTGAAGGACCGGCTGCACCATGTGTGACTGAGTCAAGGTAATGGTGCGGCGTGCTCTGTCCCGAGTGATCTGCAAGCCAAGGTAGCTGCGCAGTTCACCCAGGTCTGTGCACGTGTGTCTCTTCAGCAGCTCGGACTTCACGTAGGCGAGTCCAGCAGTGTCCGCTGTGGCAAAGACCAAGTCGTCGACGTACACGAGGATGTAGAACGGCGGCAGGGAAGTGTCGGTGCGAAGAAACAGCGACGGGTCAGTAGAAGAAGGAGCAAACCCAAGAGCCGCAAGCGTAGTCCTCAGTGTGTCGTGCCACTCACGCGGTGCCTGGCGGAGACCGTAGACTGGCCGTCGGAGGCTCCACTGGGTGCCAGGAGGGAAAGTCCCAGTGAAGCCAGGTGGACGGCAAAGCCAGATCTCCTCGTGCAGGCTACCCTGCAAGAACGCAGTGCTGAAGTCGAGAGAGTGAAGCTCGTAGTCGCGCTGAGCGGCTATGTGCAGCTGCACCCGAAGAGTAGTCATCTTCGGGGTGGGAGAGAAGGTCTGAAAGTAGTCAACTCCCTGCCGCTGACTGAAGCCACGAGCAACGTACCGTGCCTTGAAGACAGGTGGAGAGCCCGGCGGCCGCTTCACCCTGAAGATCCACATGCCACTGACGATGTTCGCCCCAGGAGGGGGAACCGCGTCAACGTAGGTGCCTGTGGACTTCCAGGAAGCCATCTCTGCATCCATAGCTGCCTGCCACTGAGAGGAGTAGGAACCCTCTACGGCCTCCGCGTAAGAACGCGGAGTCGGGATGTCTAGTGCATCCGGGTCTCCCTCAGGGGCAAGCAGTACAGACGCGAGATGAGGTGAAGCAGCCACTAGACACTGTAACTCCTCCTGCCTGTCCTCTAGGACGTCCGTGCCAAGAGCACACTCACCCCCGACGGACGGAGGACAGACAGACGCAGACTCAGCAACAAGACTAGCAGCGTAGTCGAGACGACAGCGAGCAGCAAAGTCGACGAGCTCAGCGACTAGAGCAGACGCAGCAGTGGACTCAAAAGAGGGGTCAGTGACGACAGTAGCAAGCAGACGCGTGACAGTAGGACTGGCAGCACGAAGAGAGTCCGACTCAGGGTCGGCAAGCGCAAGAAGAGAGGACTCAGGAGGAGAAGGCAAAGGGGCGCGCAGAGGAGCAGTGGACGGACGCAAAGACATCCGGTGCGTGCCAGGGACAGGAGGAGGACGCTGACGCGAACTGCGACCACTAGCGCGAGCAGCACGAACAGGCGACGCGGGACGAGACGCAGGCTCACGACGCTCAGCAAGACCTCCAGTAGGACCAGTGTAAGGAGAGGGAGCAGGTAGTGGAGAGGAAGGCTCCAGCAGGGACTGCGACTGGACAGGCGGTGGACCCTCTACTGGAGGAGAAAGACCAAGAACCTGCTGCAGGAGCGGAACGAAGTACGGCCGAGGCCGCGCGGCAGCTCCAGACTCAGCAGGGATAGCACCAGCACCCTCAGCGACAGCACCAGCGCCACCCACACCTCCAGCGGCAGGACCAACAGCAGTAGGCTCAGCACCAACGCCCCCAGCAGCTCCGGGACCGGCAGCACCCGCACCCTCGACGGTCGAAGAAGCTCCAGCTCCAGCTCCGGCAGCACCTCCAGACTCAGCAGCACGCCTCCAGCGGCGAGCGAACCACTCACGCAGCTCCTGTGGAGAGAGGGGCTCCCGGCGAGACGCAGCAGCAGGAGAAACCCCAGGCTCAGCAGCTCCAGATGCAGCACCCCCAGGCTCAGAAGCTCCCGACCCAGCACCCCCAGACCCAGCACCTCCAGGCACAGCACCCCCCGACTCAGCACCCCCAGGCTCCGCACCCTCCGCAGTAGCACCCCCAGGCCCAGCACCCCCAGCAGTAGCACCCCCAGGCTCAGCACCCCCGCGCACAGCACCCCCAGAGTCAGCACCCCCAGGCTCAGCACCCGCAGCAGCACCTGAGTCACCAGTAACCTCGACCGGGTCAACGGCGTCTACCTGGGACACACCTGAGGGGGCAGGAACCTGAGGGGGGAGGGGGTCTACCGGGGGGGGAACCGGCACAAGGAAGTCCGGGGGAGGGGGGAGGGAAGGAGTGCGGTAGGGGAAGAGACGGTAGAAGGGGACTGACTCGTCGAACGTGACGTCCTGGGAGGACAGAACACGACGAGAGGAGGGGTGGTAAAACTGCCACCCTGGGGCGTCAGTGGGGAAGCCAAGGAAGACACAGGGAGCAGCACGAGGGGACAGCTTGTCCGCAGACAAGTCGCGGACAAACGCCCGAGATCCCCAGACACGGAACACAGACGCATCGCCAACCTTCCCCGTCCACAGCAAGGCTGGGGACATCGCAGGCCGAGAGACCCGGGGGTGAAGGTTGAGCTGATGCGCCGCGTACCTCACCGCAAACGGCCACAGAAAATGGGGGGCAGCCGCATGCATCATGGACGTACGAGCGACATCCATGACCATGCCAATGCGGCGCTCAGCAATCCCATTTTGCTGTGGTGAGTCCGGAAGCGTGAAGGTCTGGCGAATCCCCCGTGCACGACAGTAGTCACGCAGAAGGCGAGAAGAGAACTCTCCGCCTCTGTCCGAGTGCAGACGCAGAACAGGAAAGTCCGAGCCGAAGCTCTTCCTGAGGTTGAGACGAGCCTCGCGGATCCAGTCGATCAGCACCTCAGTGACCGCACCCTTGCTGCGCAAGGGGAGGACTGTGGTGTAACGCGAGTAGTCGTCAACCACCAACAGGAAGTAGCGCTCGTAACCCTGCCCACGGACGGGGGCTGGGCCCCACACATCCATGTGAAGCGTCTGCAGGGGAGCCTCTGTCGGGGGGAAGTGGGAGGAGTGAGGAGTAGCCCGGAGGCGACCCTTGACACAGGGGACACAGGAAGGTCCTGGCCCGGAGGGGAGAGGAGGGAGAGACTGGGGAAGACCAGAGACAAGGACACGGGAAGCCATGCTCCGAAGACGGGGCAAGGAGGGGTGGCCAAGACGGTGGTGCCACAGGAGAGTCTCGTGAGACAGGAGGCGACAAGAACAGGGGGCAGACTCAGGACCTGACCGGGACGCAGCAGCAAGCACCTGACCTGACGCAGCCACCTGACCAGACGCAGGGACAGGAGGAGACTCAACGGTCAGGGTGTAGAGACTCGACCCCGGCCGACGCGAGAACGTGGCCAGGTGTCGGCCTGTGCGTGCCTCCGTGCAGTGGGTCACCCGCTGACTCGCAGGAGTGAACTGGTGAACCCCCACATCCTGCAGGTCCGCTCCACTCACCAAGTTCGTAGAGAACGAGGGAAGGTACAGACCAGACAGGGTGCCCGAAGGGGCAGCCGGACACGGGAGGACAGTGGAGAAGTGAGACAGGACAGGACCCCCAGAGGGGTCAGCAAGGGAGACCGCAACCGGCCGGCCGAGCGGCGTAAGGGTAGTGCGGTCTCGAAAGAAGGAGCGAGAAGCCCCGGAGTCAAGTGTGAAAGTGAGGGAGGACGAGGACGACGCAGTACCTGAGAGCGCAGTCTCACCAGTACCTGAGAGCACAGACGCACTGGCACCTAGAGCAGCAGCCTCACAAGCACCTAGCGCAGTAGTACCAATG